AATAGTTCTATTGAAGAAGACTTACTTTTATGTGAATTTTTGCAAACCAATACAAGTCACTGCATTTTCCACAGACACGCTCTGGTAGTTAAGAATATTTCTCCCTCTCTTAAAAATGTGTTGGACGAAGCAGTACAGATTATTAATTATATAAAAACTCGACCATTACAATCAAGACTGTTCAAAATTATGTGTGAAGATATGGGTAGTCAGCACACAGCCCTGCTTCTACGTACAGAAGTCAGGTGGCTATCACGAGGAAAAGGGCTGGTTAGATTATTTGAGTTGTGTCATGAGCTCTCCGCATATCTGATGGATCATAAATTCCAACTGTCTGATCATTTAACAGACTTTTTGTGGTTATCGAGAGTTGCGTATCTTGCAGACATCTTTACAAAACTAAATGAAGTAAATCTGTCGCTGCAAGGAAAGAATGTAAATATTTTTAATGTGAAAGACAAAATTTTGTCATTGTCACGGAAGCTACAGTTCTGGATCTCATCTGTAGGATGAAATGATTTGGATTGTTTACCAACTCTGAATGATTTCCTTGAAGAAAATGGATACAAACTTGATGAAGATATTCGCAGTGACATTGCAGATCATCTCTGCGATTTATACACGAACATCATTAAGTATTTTCCAAACATCAATGACAACAATAACTGGATTCGAAATCCATTAAGTTTAACAGAAAAGCCAGTCAGTTTTTCTACACAAGATTATGAAAACCTAATTGAAATCGCTTCAGATGGCCAATTAATACAAAAATTTAAAGAAGTTTCTCTGATTACATTTTGGAGCGATTTATGTCAAAGTCAAGAATATTCATCTTTATCATGACGCGCAGTTTGTCAGCTGTTACCCTTTGCCAGTACATACTTGTGCGAAACTAGGTTCTTGAACTATGCAGCAACGAAAATGAAATACAGAAATTGTCTGAATGCTGCACCAGATATGCAAATCCAATTTTCTAGTATTAAACCAAATATAAAAAGAATTTGCCAAGAAAAGAAGAAAAACCACTGTTTGCATTGAAAACTATGAATATAATTAATATTATTTGTTAGTTTTATTTATTGTACATATTTAATATGATTTTTGCTGAATATAAATGAATGGTGTTATATTCAATATGTTGAATTTAAATGAATGGTGATCTCATGACCGTATTTATCATCTTATTACTATCAATTGTGGTGTACTGGCTCTGTGTGTGTTTGGGCTTTTTTTTTTTGCTCGACAAACTTAATCCCTGGCTAGGGGGTTCCTTGAAATTTTTCTGAGTTTGAAAGGGTTCCGTGGTCAAAAAAAATTGGGAAACACTGTACTAATCCATCTGAGACTTATTCTAACATTCAACCCTCACTCTCTCAAACAGCTTTAGACTGGTACATTAAAAATCAAAATAAAAAATACAAATACAAAATCCTCAGCCCTCCAAAGAAGCATTTACTCCACCTCTTTCTTCTCCTTCCGAAAGTTACCCTTGCCTGAGGCTTGGGATATGTAATATTCAGTCCTACGCCAGTAATTACCCTTTCAATACATAAAAATGTCATGATTTTGAAATTTCCTATCTTACAGCCCTGCGGGGCTAGTCACAGGAAGGCACCCAGCCTCCTCCATGGGGTCCAACTCCCCTATATAGCTCTGGATAGGTGTAAGAGTATGGATTTTAAGGCTGTAACATTTTCAGA